TTAACTGTTGGCGAACACGCCGCGGTGTTCACACGCACACACATCTGGAGAAATCAAAATGAACACACACGTGCGCACGCCCAAACGTGCACTTACACAGTTAGTTCACATACTGACGGCAATTTCCAGGATGATTGCTGACACAGGCTAATGCAACGTAACCAAGCATGTCTCTCTCCCTGTGTGCATGTGTGTACACACACTGCTGTACGTACGTGTGTGTGTGCGTGCATGTGTGTGTGTGTGTGTGTCGTGAGCCATGATGTATGTCTTAATGTCTGTCTGCTGCTGTGAGGAAGCAGCCAGATCTCTGGTGACAGTGTTGGCCGACATTACGTCATGGTGTGTGTGGAGCCCCTGGTGGAAGATACTCGGTACCTGCTGCAAACTGTCAGTCACATGAAAGTGCAGGAGCCTGTCCGCATCCCTTGTAAAAATGGAATTTGGGTTATAATATTGTGCAAAAACGTTTAATTTCTAATTGGAAAAACATAGAACCTTCTGTCTAGACTGCAGAAGTGTGTGTTAAGATTTTTATATATATATACACATATACATATGTATGTGTATATATAACATTTAATATATATTATATTATATTATATTAACGCAGATAAGCTTTCAGATTATTAGAGAGATACTTATATGGTAATATCACCTTTATGATTAGCTGAATGAAATAATCAATATCTTGGCTCTGGGTATTTTAATTGAAAAAGAAAGGAAAGAAAACCACACAGTGTAAACAGATTGATTCAACAGTATGACTCACTACTTCACGATTCGTTAGAGTGAAGCTCATCAGAGGAGTGAGCGTCACACAACAGCACACAGAAACTGACAGACAGTTCCTGTTCTATTATTATTACTAGTAGTATTGTTATAACTGCAGACCCAAATGGGGGTGTGGGGGTGAAAGGGTGGAGTAACTACTTTAAAATGGTTTAAGTTGTGGTTTTTTTTAATGATTATTCCGAGGCTGGTCTGGAGTGAGAGTTCAACAAACCTGCAGAATTTAAATGATAGCTCAGTGTTCACTATTGACACTTTAATTTCCTCTTTTCATGCCTCGCAAAATGAATGTAATTGAAAAACAAAGTATATTATTGTTTTATTATTAATATTATTAAGCTTCATTTTGAAAGTATATAGCTACGTTGGTAGTGATATTTATTTTTATTTTTTTTCAATTTTTGCTTTTTCTTCAAGAGATACTTTCATTTATGTTTTAAACATAGACTAAAGGTTTTCCCAGGATAGTGAAGGAATCACTGGCTTTGCCCAGTGGTTTCAAAAGAAGGGGCTGAGGGTATTGCACAGGAAATTTTTCCATTTGTGTCACAGCGGAAAAACCCACACGTTTAAGAATAACAGTTTTCAGGAGCAAGTTCTTTAAATGAAATTCAGTGGCGTTTTGAAGCAACAGCTTTAAATGTGTCAAAAAGGAGGATTTTTAGGTGGTTTGTCTTACAAACAGCAGTGTATAGAGCATTACAGACACATTTTGAGCTCCCCAGTGAGCTACTTGGATTTCTATATAATACATGTACGTTACACGAACAGTAGTATCAGGTACTGCATTTTATCATTATATTCCTACCCGTAGAGTTAACACAGGAGAACAAAGGGACACGTTGAGAGATTACAGCTTCCAGAACAGTTTCTCTAATACAATGAGAAATGCCGTATCTGCTTTTGTAAAGTATTTAAGACAGCCCATGAAATTGAGCTCCCCTCCTTGCCAAAGGTAATAGCTCACTTGCCTAATTCAGCCAGACACTTAGATCTGCTGACAAATTGAGACTGCACATAAAACCCTCCCGCAGGAATATTAAAAGTACATATTTAGTTTAGATAATTAAGAAAAATCCAGAGCTCCTCTGTCAGACGCTGTTCGTCTGCCTTCCCGCATTCCTAATTCCATCTTTGCCATTACAACTCTGCATCGCTGCCATATCGACGACACTCAAAGCTGAGCTGACAGCAATACATGCAGGCGAGCGGCTCTTTTGCCCACAGACAGAAATAAGTAACAAACAAACAACTGCGGTGGCGGCGGCAGCAGCTCGATCAACTGGCCTCATTAAAATAAAACAGGAAACGTAGCCACTGTTTTAGAAGTGACACCATCTCTGACAAAAGACTGGGACTTCAGCAGACTGTGGGATAAAGAAAGGCAGAATGTAATCTGACTCTTGAATCTAAAAATAAAAAGTTGCAATTCAAATGTTTACTTTTACATGACAATTTTAAAGAATTGTCAGTTTCGTTGATAGCATTCTCATTTAGAGTAAAACAAAACATTAACACAAAACACTTTCCTGGGCTGACACACAATAATAGCCTACCTGTTACTGTAACCTAGGAAACAAACATCCTAAAGTGACTCCCCCTGCTGGATGTTGCTTGGACTATCAATTGAACAATATCTGAGGTTAATAAAACCAACAAGTTTAACACCTCATAAGACCAGAGATCCAACCAGCAAACCAATCCCAACTTCTATAAACGGCCGTGCTTACGCCACAAGATCACTGCAACACCCATTCATCCATTATGTAACCTTTAATCCTCTACAGGGTCACGAGGGAGTTGGACCCAGAACCATTCATCACGTGGCCCATTTCATATATACAATCTATGAAACAGTCCATTATACAGAAGAAGAAAAACCTGTGCTCAGACTTTCATGATAGTTGCCACTTGTAAAAGTTTAATGATGCACAAAACAGGTACTGCTGTAGCATCTTGTGGCGACAGAGACCAGAGCTGGAATGAAAGAAGGGAGTACGGAAAAAAACAGAAAAGACAGGGGTGTGAAATCAAAAGTATGAAGAATTTAAGAGACAAGGGGGGAGGGTGGGGGACAGCAGTGAATAAAACAGTCAGACATGAGAAGTGCAGTAAACGTCTGGCAAAAGAGCTCTATAAATAAAACCTGTGCAATTCAAACTACAACAGAGCTCTATAAATAAAACCTGTGCAATCCAAACTACAACAGGAGGAGGAAGTAGAGAGACATAAATGCAGATTTTTTTTTCTTGTTATAAACACAGCAGCTGTGGTTAGAAGCATCTGAAGGGCAAGAGTGCAGGTCAACACTTGGAGCACAGCCCCCCCCTCCTAGAGGAAGAGAAGAGAAGGGACCAAAAGGTTTTAGAGCAGAGACGAGTGCAGACGCAGAGAGAGCAGTATTTTAATGATGCAAGGCACTAACTGCGCCGGGGGAGAGACGGGGATGGGGAGAGGCAGCAGGGAGGTGGGGGAGGGAATAAAAACCCCAAACTAGATCCCAATAAAGAATGAAAGATAAAAAAGTAAACCATAAAGCAAAAAAAATAAAAAATGCAGAGGGGGAGTCAATAAAACAAATGCAATCACACACATGCACACAAAATAAAGGGCTGTTCCAAACAATTTGCAATCCTGTCAGAAACACAACTTCAGCTTGTCTGGGAGCTCTTTGAACAGAGGAACATGACTTGTGTTTAAACAGACATTATAATAATCACAGTGTGTCTCTCTAAATAACAAGGAATGGTCGTCAATGGCAACCGACGTGTTAAATATAATGAAAGAAAAAAAAAAACAAGAAGGAGGGTTGTGTTTGGCTTTGACAAAAAGACAAATCACTGCTTTTATGAGACTGAGAACTTCCTAATTAATGGGAGTGCACAACTTATTTATGAAATGATGGCATTTTCAAGGACTCAGGTACGAAGGGCACTGAAGAATTTAAATCCCACTCTGTCCTTCCCAAAAATGTACCCCTGTTCACCTCTGTCTGAGAGGCAGGAAGGAAGTGGAAATGATTTTATTTTGACCATTTATGATCAGAGGTGAGTGAGAAACAACAGAAAGAACTGAATTGCTGACAGTCGGTAAGGGGTTTCAGGACGCGGACGTCGCCCCTGCTGGCAATAAGTGCAAACATGAGCATGAGAGTATTTCCTCATTCTCTGAGAAAATGAGGATTGTGGAGAAGAAAGGGAGGGAAAAAAGGGAGAGGAAAAAAAAAATCGATCTGCCTCACTCTCTGCAGTGCTGCATCCACTGGGTGTGTGCTAGGGCTTCGCATGTGCATTGTGGCCCCAACTGCAGGGGCGCCACCAAGTGGTTGAAATTATTCTCACAGTCATTTTAACAGAAGACCAATCAATGCTCAGGAAAAAAAACTCTTATTTAAGAGGTAAGAAGGACAAAGAGAATTTTTAAAGTGTTTTCTCAGACAAGCAGACAGACTAATTCATATTTTAAACATAAATATTATATATAAACCCAGCTAATATCAAAGGCTCTGTGTTTTCAAGAAAGGGTTGGTTGTGGCTTTGTTTAGTCTAAATCTGCAAGAAATTTTAAAAAAAGTTTTAAAGCACAAAATTGTTTTACATTTAAAAACAATATTGTCTTCAAATTTAAAAAAAACTACATAGGTTGTCAAGTGGGACTTGATGTCGATGATGCAAATTACTGATGCACTAGTCAGCTAATTAAAAGAATATTGATAGCGCGAGGCACAGATGAAGACTAAATCACAATGAGCTAACAAAATTAAAAACGATGTCCAAAAATGTGTCAGAATATTTAACAATGGAAAAGCTTCAAAACGGGGGTTAAAATTGTCCGAGGATACTAGAAAGCACTGTTGAATGTGCGGGTCTTTGAACCTGTCTACGTTGCTGTGATGGACGTAGCCAAGTCAGCTGGGAGCCTATAACTGTAGTAGTGTAGAGAGGCTGTGAGTGCACACCACAAAGATGGATGAAACAGGGACGAGAACAGCTCCTGCTGGACAGTACTTGTCTCTGTGCTGCCTCTAATTACCTGGCTGCCCACAAGCTTTCCTGCATGTCAACGTTCAATCATCGCCACACAAACACACAGAGACAAACACACACACACACAGAGACAAACACACACACACATATACATCCACTTGCTCTGTGTAAATCTGTTACACAGACACTGCCCACAAACAGTCAGACTGGGTTTGTTTTTACCTCTCCCTCGATCCTGGGGGGGCGAATGCTGGACAGGTGGATGGTCTTGTATTCACCGGAGTTGAGTTTGACGACCATGGCATCGGCGTTTACCACTTGCATCACCTGCAGATGGGGGTAGAGAGGGAGAGAACAGTGTGCTTAATATAAAATCAAGATGGCAGTTTGATTAGGTGAAAACATGGAGATTAAAATGAGAACACGATAAGATGACTGTCGAGGATAAAACAAATAAAATAAAAATCATGTAAATCTTTGGTTACATGTACCCCCCAGGGCTGGAGCAGTGTTGTAGCAAAAGATACTCTCACTGCTTTTTTGGTGAGTAGACAGAGTATAAGAATGATGGGAAGTGAAGGAGCAGGTAAAGGATAAATGGAGAGGAAGAGATCTATTCAAAAGTGTAGGGAGAGTGACAGTGCAGATCCTTTGCTGTCAGAAGACACTGAGAACAAGGTAAGAATGAGCGATCCTTGAGTGACTGAGTGAGTACGCTGGCTGAGTCGTCCCCAGCAGGCAGACACGGTTTGGAGGACGGAGGGAGGACATTTAGCCATCTGGGGGATTGAAACCAACGGGGAGGGAGACAGAGAGCGAGAGGGAGTCAAGAGAAAACCTTTAAAACACAAACACAGTGTTAAAGAGACTGATAGAGCATTACCCAGACCTCTGCCCAACAACTTCCTGGCAGCACTTTGTTATGACGACCTTTACAGGTGTAACCAAAGACACAGAAATTTATGATTGGCATTTAAATGTGCTTAATATCGAAGGCAACCATCACAGCTACAGACGACCAGAAGTTAGCATTGGTTGTCAATTTAGACAAGCATATTAACAAGGCCCAAAACACGTAGAACAGATGTTCCTGACCAAGCTGTTAGTTTTCCCAAAGGTCATCAATGATGGAACCAAATCCTTAAAAAATCTCCAATGGCGTTCTCTGATATGCTTTACAACCAAAGCCTGTCATTTCAACACACATCAGTCTTTGCTACTGTACTATTTATTCAGTTGTTGCTGAATAGGGCTGAAGCTTCGAGGTAATTGGAGTAAATGTGACACAGATGGAACACACATCCAAACCCAGTCTCTTTGTGTAGGTTGAAAAAAAAAAAAATTTGTACTTCTGCCTCCCACATGTAATTTGAACAGCTTTAACCAAACTCACTCAAGCTGGAATTCAGATGTAGGCTGTGCTTGAGCTGAAGTCCTAAAATTCAGAGAAGCAGGCCTGAGCTGTGTTTCAAGGCCTGTGTGGGTGTTCTGTGGCTGAATGTGTGGTTAGAAAACAACATAAAAAAATGAATTCCTTTGTGTATTAAGTTGAGCGTATTCAGTGGTGGCGTAGGACAAACACAAATCCAGGTGTACTGGTCTCCGAGAAGCATTCATTATATTCATGAAAACAAATCAAACTGCCACTGCATTTGCTACCAGAAAAAAAAAAATACAGAAATGAGACCAACCCACGTGCTAAAAAGGCTGCTCAAAACAGCGGTCAAAATATACCATCACATTGTAATCACTAAGCTGAGTGGGTGAGATGCAGGGGGACCAGGAGGTTAGGCTGACAGAGAGGGCTGGATTGGGGTATAATGAGTGAGTGCAAGGGGGACACAAACCTGTACAGTAACAAGGTCATTTTGTGGGCTGCCCAACTAAATAAAGTGCAAGAGAAGAGAATGTGGCAGCGGCTGAAAAAAAAAAATTGGCTCAGCATTTACTGGCTAATTATCAAGTGGAGGAGGCAGGACCAGAGAGGAGAAGGAGGAAGAATCAACACGGGCAGAGACGGAGGCAACTGGAGGCAGAGTGAGCCAGAGAGACGACTGTAAGCTCTCTGCAAATATTACCGCAGCAGAGATGGACAGAAATGTGAAATGGACAGAAAGAGAGAGGGGGGAAAAAGTCTCAGTAAAGTAGCTGCCATTAGGGTTGAGTGAGCAGGCAGAGTAGACAAACCAGGGGCAGAGGCAGCATGACTCAAGGGTCTGATCTGATGCTTCAGAGGTGGGAATCTACTGCCACCCTCTGCCCATGGCTGACATGACATCTGCAGTGGCAAGGATCAGTCACTGCAACACGAGGAGGAGCCAGGCGTCCATCAGGGAATGGATGGATGGGCTGTCAATCAAAACCTCTGAAAAGGTTGGAACCACGTGAGGCAATATGCAGTACCTACTGAGGGCAATGCTACTGCCCACAGTGTACTGAGGTCAGTGAAATACTTAATTTGCATGTTGCTAATGTCATATAGATAGATAGTTAGATAGCACTTTATTAATCCCTCAGGAGTTCCCTTTGGGAAATTTAGGAATCTAAAATATCTATATCTATAAATAAATATCTAAAAGATTTTACATTTGTGGCTACTGTGTATTTACATATTCATATTTCATTCTTTTTCCTTTTGTGTTATATGTTCATATATCATAATGAAAATGAGTGAGTCTTTATCTTTATCTACACATTTCTAATCAGTCTTTAAAAAATGCTGTATCTAAGGTCATTTTAATGTAGTTCTACTTGTCAACATTTAGCTACCATAGGATCAACTAAGTCATTATAAAGATAATTTTAGCCTAATTTTTAAAATAACCATGAGCTACTGGGACAAAATTCAATTGGGTTTAACTTTTAATTAGCTTAAAAAGACCAACTTTTGGTTTACATTTATTTTTAAATGATGTATTTCTCCACACTTCCTCCCCTTGGACCATATTAGAATTAATTTGCCATTAACTGTATTTTTGAGCGAGCATCTAAAAACAAAACCAAAGAGTCTCACAGCAGTTTCTCTGCCACAGAAACACAGATAAGAGTCGTCAACCTGCTGATCCTAAAGTCGAGCATTTTTCAAACTAAGAGTCGTCAACCTGCTGATCCTAAAAAAACTAGACTTTGGAATGATTTGAAGGACTCTTACAAATCAGGTTAAAGGCAGTGATGAGAGGTTGATAAAAATGTTTACACTGTGTCATCTTTTATCCATCACCTCTCAGGTTGAAGGGAAGGAATAGGCGAGGAGGGAGTGAGAAAGGGGGAGGAAGACTATTGGGACCTGGCCTACATCTGCTTCTCTAGTCCCTGTAGAGACAGGAGCAGAGAAGGGTGAGACAGTCAAAAAGGAAGATGCGTCAGCAGGATTGATTTGTGAGGATTGGACCTCCTTTGGCTCTCCACTCTGGCCATCACTCAGGTAATAAGAAGTGAAAGCAGAGTGGACCAAGAGAGGGGAGGAGTGTAGGATGAGGGGACTGATGGATAGATGTGTCCCTGGAAAAGTCAGTGCAGCGCAGCATTATGTGCCTGCAAATGTCACAGGGACGATGATGGGGAGGGAGGGGCAACAACGGGCCGTCCAATATGTACTTAGCTTTAAAATAACTCAACCATTTGCAGGGTCAGCAAGACATTTCCCCAACACGACTGCCAGCCACTTCTTTTTTTAAGGAAAGCTTTTAGAGTCACGTGCTCCTGCTGCCAATCTGAGGCCTTTCACTTCACTGACAACAGCTTTGCATGTATACTTATATTTTAAAAAAAACAATTATTTTCACCTACAGCAAATCACTATACTCTCAATGTAAGTGATCCTTTAAAGGTCTGACAATGCCTTGTTGAAGAGTAACTAACATAAATGGATAATTTTATCATACGTTCTACCTGTAGCGCCGATAAACATTACCCCGAGACATAACAATACACTATTTACAGCAGACGACATTGTCGACAATTAAAGGTTAGCAATTTATTCAAATCTAGAGGTTTGTAGATTTTTATGAGCTGCTGTTTTCTTTGTTGATCTATTTAGACTTAATAAACTGACTGTTGATAGAAGAGTTAGAACTGATGTTTGCTGTTTTAAGTCTGGTCAGAAGTGCATCTGAATATTTGTTAATTAGGGTCAACATATAAAAGGTCATATAAAGGTCAGCACTCCATAAAGAGAAAATATAAAGTATCAGATATCGTACAAATTGACTATCACGCCCAAATAATTGTAATAAATGTCAGTTAAAAATATCATATTGTACATCTCTACGTAGATGACATTGTCATTTTCCCACTAATTCATTGGTGAGGTGAGTGCAAATGAGCAGACCGCCACAGGTGGCAATGTCCTCTCTGGATATTCATGGAAAAAATATTTGTAAAAGGGAAAAGGGAGAGAAGTTGTACAGAGATGAAGAAGTGCATCAAGGTCTAGCTGGGGGGCAACAACAGAGAAGTAATGTACGAACAAGGAATAAAATATCAGAGCGGATAGTCCTGGGAATCTTGATTAGTTTTTTTTTCCCCCTAAAGTCTCACTATACCATTTCAAGCAAAATCATATTTTTTGGCTTCTTTTGTAACACCGTGTCTTTTCTCCTCGGCAGCTTTCATGGCTCTTTTTAATGCGTCGTCATGAATTCGCCGGCAAATGTTCCCCTCACTCCCTACTGCTGGTATCCAACCTGCTTTATATTAAAGGGTTAAGAGAGATCTGAGAGCAGCTCGCGCTGATAATATAAATGTTTTATCCTTTCTCTAGCCTCTTCCCACTGACTCAGGAAAAAATATACATACAGCTTTTTATTTGCACCTCCTTTGTGTTTGTGTGCAGTTCATCAAATTCATTCTGTTAGCAGATTGCCAAAACAAGACCTTTTATGTAACCCTCAGGCCAGCTATGAATTTTTGAAAGCCTTTGAAAAATCAGGGTTTGGGGGAAACAGGTAGACAAGAGACAAACTTTAGGAGTTTAGAACTTTCTTTAAACATTCAGGGGAAAAAATATACTGGCTGAACAAAACAGCTGGTTGGGACTCAGAGGAGAAAATAAAAAATAAAAATCTAACGGTTTAAAGCTGAAGTTTCTTTACGGCGTTAAAGGTTGCGATTGAAAACTATAATATGTCATCTTATTCAGACATTACCGTAATGTATGGAGGAGTCCATCAGGCTTAATTTAAAGTAATGTTTGCTGACAACTCGGAGGTGGGCAGTACAGGTAGTACATCATATTAAGGTCACTTCACTTTCCCACTGAGGCTCTGACCAATAACCTACAGAGCTAATATTTCTGTGCCTCTGCTTCAGTGTACGGCACAATTTGGCCTTAATTTGACTGGGGAGCACTTAAAAAGGTTTTTGTTAAGCATTCTCCCATCTGTACCTTTGGTGAAGGGATTTCTTTTTTCTCCCCCTATTCTTTTTATTTAGTGGGGAAGTCTGCAGATGTGAAAATAAAAGCTGTCAGGAGGATATAAGTCATTAGAAGACTCATAGTGGCTCAGTTTCTGCTGCAGTGATTGGAAAAAATAGGAAGTGCTGCAGCACACATCAAGACGTCGAAGGCAGGGAAACAGCCGGCACTGATGCAGAATCTTATTCACAGCGGATAATGGCCCCAATGTCATGTTGATAGTTTCATAACTTGGTCTTTATAGCTTAGATTTAAGACTTTAAAATAGAGCATGATGACGCGAATGGAGATAAGTGACACCTCTACCAGATTAAGAAGGGATTTATGTTCAGACGACACCTTCGCTGATGGGACACAGCGTATAAAAGACACGACAAAGCCTCACCTTGGCTACAAACTGTCTGTCCTTCTGGTCCAAGTTGGCGGTGGGAGCCACGTAGTCCCTCCAGATGCGGACCTTGCGCTCTTTGGCAGATCTGGCCAAGAACAAAGTCACATCATCATCATCATTTTAAGTGGTAGTGCTCACCATTAGCCAGATATTAGGATACGAGAAACTTTATCACATTACGAAAAATGTAGTCGTTTTGGCTGGAGAAAAAGCTGAAAAATCTCATTAAAGCAAGAATATTCCTACATCAGAGGCCAAAAGTTGCTGCAGTACTGACTGCAGAGAACAGTCACAGCAATATTATAGTGTGAGACAGTTTATCACAAGTGTTGGTGGCAATCTGTCACAAACTCCCCAGCAGTACACTCACATTTTCTCCATTTATTTATTTCATCTTCCATCTAAGATGCGATCTTCAAACCATTTCGACATGTAGTTTTGGTTATCGTCCTGCAAAGTTTAGGCTTTTTAGCAGCTATACATGTAACTACTTTTTTTATATAAATATTAGTAGAATCCGGGCTATTTTAAAGATTAAATAAGATTTTTTTTAAAAAATAATCATTTTTAGTATGGCATTTTAAAGCAATTGTGTTTTAGCTTTTCCAATAATCCTAGAAAGGTGTTTTACCTAACCTCTGGTCTTTGGCCCCAGTATTTTGCTATGGATCGTAATTCTGCCAAATTTTAATAATTTCTTTAGGTAATATCCATATATATATTATTCATATGCAATATAGAATGAGACAATTTCAAAATGTGAATTTTGGACCATATCACCAAACTCCAGTTTCAGGTTTTTTGTAGCTATTATTTTGCTTATACTTTGGCCCAAAAGATTAATATTATATATTTTTTTACATTTCTTTACCTTTCAGCAGCTCGCAGTTTCTCGGCTCCTTGAGTGTAAACGGCCATGGACCAGTCCACGCAGCGGGCGAATCCTTCCTTTAGCAGAAGCTCCGTAATGTTACCATTCTGAGAGAGACAGACGGAAAGACATGAAGAACTGAGAAAACACTGCACTGTTTGGACATTTACCAACTTAATGTTGATCGTCCGCTCTCACTGGATGAAGGATGGTGCCCAGGATGTTCTGGTTGGGGCAGCTCTCCAGGATGATTTGAACGTCTCTCTGCAGAAGTCGGGATTCAGTGAAGAATTTGGCCTCTGCTGCAAATGGTTCTGGTGACTCTGTACCATCTGCTTCTCTCTTAAATGTTGGACACTGGAAAATAACACCGATACACACACGAAAATAAGATATGAATAAGCATCAATAATACTGTATAATCTTTACTCAACCAGCCAATCTGGGTGTTTTTGTACACCTTGCTTTAACGTCTATCTGTATTCTCCATTTCTGTGTGGCGAGGCGCCAGACAGATAAACACAAGAGGCACAAAAAGCAGGCAACAAAAAAAGAACATCTTGAAATGGATGTAATATCTTCAAGTGAGGTGATGAAAAAGATTAGTTATCTGAATGATCCATTGGCAAAGTGGGGCTAAGTGAAGGAGACTGATGGGGAAGTTTAGTCAAAGAGCTATGACACAGCTAGGACTTAAAGAGAAGATTGTATCTGCCGCAGTATTCTACCTGCCATTACTTTTGTCTGGTTTGCCAAACAAAGTAACAGCCGCTGTGAGCTGGAAGAGCACAGAGTGGTGGTTACCTTCACGCCTGACAGCATGACTGTGACCAGGTAGTAGTCGGGAAGCAGCAGGGCGCGAACAACACTGCCGTCACGCACATGCTCAATGATGGCTGCAGGAGAGAAGAACAGAGATTCACAATGAGCGCTGACAAATCAAGATGGAACCATAATAATTAACATCCTAAAGGATCTCCAACCAGCTGAGTAAGGGGCTTATCAACAAAGTTCAGAAGTTTAACACCTCATACGGGTCAAGTGCTTTATCATCAGCCATCACTGCTGAAGTCAGCTTCATTTTGGTAACAGTGGGAATCACAACGTGGTAAATGTTTTAATATACTGTTTCTGGGCTAACATTTAAACGTTGAACTCTTTAACCCATTTAATTCATACATGTATCTCTGCAAACTTTGAAATACAAATTTGGTCAAAGTTTACTTTGTGGAAAATCAAAGCAAACACTTCACGAACAACGATATCTGCAAGTATAGCAAACCCTAAGCTATTTCTTGTGGTTGCTATAGTTTGAGCTAACATTTAGCTATATTAAGACAAATGATTCAATGGCTTTTTGCTCTACCTAAATTGCTGAACATTCTGAAGTATTAAAAAACAAGTTTTTTTTTTGTCAAAAACAGTTTTTATATATGGTAGTTAACCTATATGTTTTTATCAAAACAGTTTTTATATATGGTAGTTAACCTGTATGTTTTTATCAATTTCAAAGACAAAGTTTGTAGGCAAAGAAAATTCTTAAGGTTTAGCATCAATCAACGTCCAACTTGTGTGTGTGTGTGTAATGCGTGTGCATGCACATGAAATAGAACTTATCATTTTGGTCATAATAGCAGATCACAGTACATTTAAAGCCCTTCAGTCGGATCGCTGCCTCTGATTTCCAAACAGCCATGATGGCCTCTCATAAACGGTAAGAACAAGAAATAAAAGAATGAAGAAAAAAAAAAGAAAAAAAAGAGAGAGAGAACACCTTCACTCTATTCGTTTTCCCATTCAATTAAAGAGTAGTGAAATGAGCTGAGCCACCGTTAGCCACACTCATCTGGAAATAAATTGAGAAGCACATTACACCTCGGGTAAGTCAGAGATGAGAGAATGGGGGAATGAACCGGTGGAGGGTATTACACCGTGTGCCATTACAGGCCCTGCAACACAAAGTGAAATCTCCAGCCGAAAATGATGGATTTCTGTCACGGCTTACCAATTTTTTTTTATCTAAGAAAAGAATAGCCTTAAATGACGTTGCTCAGGAACAGGGGTTACCTGAGGAAACCCTCATACTTACCATTGATGGGTTTCTGGTGCAAGGAGTCCACAAAGTTGCGGGGATTTTCTATGGTGTATTTAAGATCGCGGATGGTGTGTGCGCTGCCACCCTCACTCCACAGGCCCTTCTTGGACGACTTGGACTGGTCCTCCAATTCACAGAGTCGGGCCTGCTCTGGACTGGTCACACAAAGAAATCAGATTAATTTTGAGTTCTAAAATTTCTGGCAGTGATAGACAATTAAAATGATATTTTTTTCTTTTTGAACTCAAAACAGAAAAACGAGAACTCTCCTGCTGTCTTTCACACCTTTTACTTTAATTCCTGACAATTTTTGGAAAGAGGAAAGTGCTGCT